TTTTTTTTTTTTTTTTTTTTGAGAGGTTTTCCCTATAGGATGCATGCGCTCACCAGATAGACAGAGAGAGACACAGAGACAGAAAGCGAGAAACCACCCCCCAGGGGGGATGGCCACACCACAATCCCTTCTCCTCCATTCTCCTCTCGGGACCTTGGGCACGCACGCACATGTGCCTGGCGTGAGTTTAAGCCATCAGGTCCAGGACTCGAGCCATGGTCAACTACATGAGAGTCTAGCGACATAGCCATTACGCTAACTGCTGGTCCCAATAAAATAATTCTTATAAAAAGTTTTATCAGAGAGAGTGAGAAAAATCATTTCCAGCTCTGGGACTTGAACTGTGGTCAGCCAGGGGAGAACCCAGCACCTCCAACCGCCAGGACACCACCTGTCAGTCTCCATAATCAACTGACTTATTTGACTTACTAGGTTCCCAACAGGACCGGCTCATAGAATCCGCACTTCAGTTTACCCCTTTTTTCCTGTTTGTGTCAGCCTCTCAAGGCGGAGTCCCAGCGGTCCCTGGGCGAAGCTAGTATAGCAACGCAGTCAACCCGGTTCCCAAAACGCGGAGCTAGGTGATCGCCCTTGAGGACTACAATTCCCAGGAGGCCGCACGGCAGCCACGTCGGCGTCGGCTGCGCATACGTCATCAGCGGAGGGCGTATCGGGGGGCGTGTCCTACGCGCCGATTGGTCGAGAAGGAGCGCCGCTGCGGGGCCCGCGGAAAACGCGCGGCGAGACTTGCGTCTGCGGTCCTGGTTCAAGGCGGCCAGTGGCGGGGGCCGAGGCGACATGGATCTCAGCGAGCTGGAGAAAGACAATACGGGCCGCTGTCGCCTGAAGTCGCCTGTGCCCGCGGTGTGCCGCAAGGAGCCCTGCGTCCTGGGAGTCGATGAAGCGGGCCGGGGCCCCGTGCTCGGTGCGCCCCTGGGACCAGGATAGGGAGTGGGATGACGAGGGAGCTGCGCGTTGCTCGGGAACGGGAGTCGGGATGATAGCAATGACAGCCCGGGCCTTGGTGACAGCTCTGAACAAAGCAGGGATGGCGACTTTCAGGGGCTCGCTGGTTGGATCCCAGTGCCCGGAAATGTCATCCCCTTCATTCTCAGGTCCCATGGTCTACGCCATCTGTTACTGCCCTCTGTCCCGACTGGCCGATCTGGAAGCCCTGAAAGTGGCAGGTGAGACCTGGAAAATGGGGAGGGGGGATCCCTGGGCATGTGCAGGGGCAGGTGAGCACGGGAGGGAGAAGACAGGCGCCGCCGAGGGGACCAGCCACCG